CTCATGGCAAAGCTACCAACCAAGCTCACTCGAGGATTCTCGAAACTCGGGACCTGCAGGTGTGGGTCCATGACCATTGATCAGGATTCCTGCTGGCGGCCTCAGTATAGCCGTCCCCCGCTACTGGTTTCTGAGCAGCACAGCAAGGTGGTGTGTTGCTTGTGTGGGTCCATAAGATTTCGGACTGCAAAGTAATTACACTGTAGTGCTTGGTGTCAATATGGAGACCTCCAACTTGGCCAAGCTGCGTGATTTGCAGGGTGGCCCCACGAGTAACGAAGCCCAGCCGCAGGAGGAGCTCCACTTCTGGCAAACAATCCAAAGTCTAAGATGACACAAGGTCGGGATCATCAAAACCTGTAGATAGGTCACCTAATCTTGGAAAACGCTGCTCCCTGCCCGAGTGTGAGAACGCTAAAGGAGCCCAGCCATCTCCAAACGTGTGTAGGACACGCTGACTGGCTCCACCCATGAACGACGATGGCCTAGCAATGCATGTCGTGGGATTCTTCCATCTGAGCAATTGTCATGCAAAACATGTGTCAGTCTTGGTCGTAAACTAGGTTCCTGATCTTCAAATCCTGCGCGTGAGTCCATGTGCAGGCAACACCCTGCTGGCTGAGATTCGCACACAAGCTGCAGGCTGCCAAAAGCACTCGGAGGTGATGCAAAGGAGGCAGACCTTCAGAATCTAAACTGAAGCACTACGCCAACCACGCAATGTAAAATCTCGCCCAATGGTACAGTTGCAGATACAGCAGGAGCCCAGAGATTACAGTCCTCAACTTCTGGAGTGCTGCGTGTGACAAAAATGCGCTGTGCTTCTTTGCAGATCTTGAAGCTTCTGCCGTTGCCTTGGAACAAAAGCAAACGATTCTGAGCTCACAGCTGCAGCTTGGCAACATCCTTGCTGAAGCTTCAACATGCGCGGGGCTTTAGTGCTGGTTTGGTTGTGCTACATCAAGACTACTGTTTGCAGTAACGCTTCAGAGTCTGCTGACCGCCGCAACTCTGCCCACACATAGGCATGCGAAGCAAAGCCTGTTGACATCGGGGCAGATGACAGACAGCGTGCACTCAGCTCACGCGTGCATGAAGGCTGGGCATTAGGTGGCGCAAACAGCATTACATCCTCAACGATTGCCACCCCAGATGAAAACGACAACTACTGCGGCGTTCGACTACCTCTAGCGTCTCTGGGCAGCACGAGCAGCCTGTTGCAAGCCCCGGCAGCTCGACTGCATCAGCAAGCGGAAGACTCAGCCGCAGGCTGCGCATCCTGAGCTGGCCCTCAGATTCAATTATCTGGTTCCGCTTTTCTTTCTACTTTGATGGCTTTCCTTGGGTTTTTGACCCCTCCTGGTCCCAATCAAGCCAAAATGGGGTCCCAATTGTGCTCATGATGTTCATGTACGAGGCGCGTGTGTGCGCGCCTCGTACAGGAACATCATGAGCACAATCGGGACACCATTTTGGGCCGCTTTCAGTCAAAAGTCAGAGAACAGGGTCTTCAAAGCACAAAAAACATCCCAGGCAACAAGAACATAACTTTTTCGTGCAATTCTCTCAATCAGGAGTATCAGCAGGGCTGGGGTGGGCTTGGCTTTCGCTGGATAGCCGGGTGGGCAAAGGGGGCAGCGGCCAGACCGGCACCTGCCGCCAGGCCCTCAACAACCACTTAATGTGACATCAAGAAGAAGACCAGCTGCGAAGTCCAGCTGGCAGGGACTTGAAGATCCAGCACTGCTGCGGGCAAGTCGTCCCGCGCCGCCATCGTCAAACCGAGACCTGCCAAAGACTTTGCGAGATCAAACGAAACTCCAAGTCGCTAAGCCAAAGCAGAGCTAAGAAGCAGAAGCCCCAAAACCTGGACAATATCTAGACGATGTATTCCAAACTATCCAGGCCTGTAATGGTTCGGCTCTCTGCATGTTGTCCAGTCGCATCCGCGTTCGTCCAGTACTGCACAGATGCCACCGCAGATGACCTCAGGCCAAGCTGTGCGCTCACAGTTTTACTGGCCGGAAATCGCAGCCACCGCATGCACGCGATGTGTGGCTATGCAACTCAAGAAGCAGACTCAGAACTGGAGGCACCATGACTTCCTGTAGTAACGATACACATCAGTGCCAAGCCACTTGGTGGCTGGTTGACTATCCGCATGCGATTAAATACCAACGCACCATGACTTCCTGTAGTAACGATACACATCAGTGCCAAGCCACTTGGTGGCTGGTTGACTATCCGCATGCGATTAAATACCAACGTCACAACTCATGAGGCCCGTGCTCGCCTCAGATGATTGTCCTCAAACCCCTGGTTTCAGGAGCTAGCATTCCGCCGAGAAGCCCCTGAGAGCTCCAGGAAATGGGCCCGAAGCTGGGAAGGAACACCAAACCTTGAACTTGCTAATGCAGGCGTGTGGATATATCAACTTCGATGAAATTTCCGAAGCTCTCCATCTTGGCCGGGATGCGCAGCTTTTCGGCAGGACCGGAACCCAGCTGCTTCAGAGTGAACTGTGTCGTGCTTCCAGTCGCAACCTCCTGCTGGCAGGGGTTCCTTACCCATAACGCTCAACCCGCTTGACAACCAAAGGGTCTACTACAAGCTAAAGCCAAGCTCCAGCATTGCTGTAGTGCCCAGAGCGCGCAGCTGTAAACTTCCAGCCGGTTCCTGCAGCACGGCGCTAGCTTAAAAGCAGATGCTTGCAGCATGAGCGCGAGCTTGGGGTCTCATGGGAAGCTTAGAGGCTCGGCGCCAGGTCCTCGCGCACCGTCCTAGCCCGAAGCGGACGCATGCTACAGTCGTAAAGGCTAAAGCTCTTTTGAGATTCCAGTCTACTTCCTGAGGTGCAAGGTTTCAGCACTTGCCCCACTGCCAACCCTGAACACTGAAACTTCTAGCTGGCCTAACAGGTCAGGCAGCAATCAATACATCTAGGTCTTTAGGTTCCTTGTGATGCTTCCATGTGCGTTTGCAGGATTCTTCTGCTAGTTCAACCCGCCAGGAGCACAGCTAAAGTAGCTCTGGAGTAACATTGTAATGGCACTTTGCTCGGTCAAGGCACACTCGCCAGCACCGGAGACGACTCCAATGCTTCGCTTCCACAACGCAGAGTGAGTCCCAGCGCCGCAGTGCTGTCAGCCTGGACAGCTTCAGATACTGAACACGGCTTCACGATGCAAACCTGGCCTCCAGTCCTCGCACTTCTGCTGTGAGAACCATGGCATACCATTGCCCCGTTTGCATGGCTTGCAGACCAGCAGAGTTGCCGAAAACTATGTCGATTGTATCACCTGACCGCAGAACTCTCCTGTGCCTGCTGTGAGAACCGAACTGCAACCGTGCCTTTCTCCGTCATGGAGTCCCAGGAGCAGGACACAGGAACGGGAAACTCGGAGTTGCTGCCGAAAACCTCTAGGAGGACCTGGCCGAGGTTTCCTGACTGGGCCTTGCTTTCACCGCCTACATCTGCTTACTAGTCTACAGGCTCAGTTCAATAGAACTAGGCTCGTTGTCTGAATTGGGTGTTTTTTCATTGCCCTGCGATTAGCATTAGCCATAGGTGATGACAACCCCTGCGAATCTACCAGCTTTACCCATGCTGCCGACCAGAAAGTAATTTTTTGCACAGGAAGGTGGTAGTGAAAACCATCCCTGCGAAGTTGCTTTTCTTCTTTATCACAAAAATGGCCGGCAGCTATTACAAGCATCAAAAACGCAAAGCATGTGTAGGCATTGCGGGGCTTGCCTGCCCCGCCTGCCCACTTGCCCGATTTGTTCCACAGGCTGCAATTGCATGCCCCATCGGATGAAATCTGTGGGGCAAGGGGTGCAAGTCAGACTGGTCATGAAAGCTGTCCTCTTGCGGTTGTACTGAACGCAAACCAGGTGTGTAGAACTTCTGAGCAACTGCAAAAATTCAAGAGCTGGCAAGTGCCCTAAAAGGAAGCACGTCTTGGTCACTTTCTGAGCTCAGCAAGCAGAATTTCTACACAGATTCTCGAGAATCGTTTTGACTCCTTGGAGGCTCCCTGGTCCCAGCGCCGGCACCAATCCAGCTCCGAGAAGAACACCCGCGTGGCTTAGTCCCTGTGCCATCCCCAGAATAACCCCTGGTCGCTACCCATTCCCGCCTCTGCGCATTCAGCTCCGGTCTTGGGCCTGTCATGCAGGCAGTCACTCTGCATGAAATTGCTGCAAACGGCGAGCACAGGTACCACTTGAAGACAAGAAGGACCCTGTGCTGGGCCAATTGGTCGACTGGTCAAGCATCAGTCTCTATCTCCTTCATTGGCTTCTTACAACTCATTTGGAGATATTCTACATTGTACAAAATGCTCCTGTCAACATGCATCTTTTGCTGAGCGGGAACTGCTTCAGGGTAGTCGCAAGAAAAGCTAGCACCAATGATTGCAAAGCGATGCTGTATGAAACTGGCTAGCCGCACGCCAAAGGAGCACCAGTTGATGAACGCAGCACCAGAAGCTGCTCCCTGCCAAAGAATGTGCTTGCTATGCATGCCTGCACAGTCCTGATGGAAGCTGCGTCTAATTCCTTCAACGGACTTGGCACGACAGAAAGTAATGCTGATATGACGCAAGCACTCACAATGCACCTTTTTCACTCTGGGCACCTTCCTAGCTTTTGGCAGCGCGACATCAGAATATCCATCGCACATCCGGACCATGGCCATGAAGAGAGATGGCTGGTGCACAGCAGTGCTTTTGGCACCTTGCGCCTGAAAAGACCCTTCCTTTGCGCACCGGCTGACGCGTTTCCCTGATCCTGCAAGTGCAACTGTACAGTGTCCACACGGCCAGCGCTGGCCGAGTCTTGCCCAGGTCATCTCCCAGCACACAGTCAGGTGCCTTATGTCTTCAAGGTGCAGGAAAGGAACTAAAACTGAATGTGAATTCCAAGTCCGTGGCAGTCAGTGTCGAGCGCGACCACGGCCACGGCCCCGACCACGAGGAGGGGTCTTGGGGATAGCGCGCCCCGCTGCTCCGACGCAGTTGGCAAAGCCAACTGAACACAAGCCCACGTTGCAGGCGGTGGCTGCATGGTAGCCAACACCTTCCACTTCACACGTACAGTGTGAAACTACTGTGAAGAGGCACCAATATCCATCAGACCGTGAAAAGCGGACACACATGCTTAGCAAAGCAGAGGCGGGCGCGAAAGCTCTGTTTCCTCAGTGTCAGTGAACAGCGGATGTTGCACGCAATTGATTTTTATCGTGCACCTCTGCGCATGATGAACGTACGTGAACTATCCTGGACAGCATTGTGTAATAGCCCAAGTTCTTGGTTTTGTGGTGGAACATCTGCATCGCCACGTATCTCAGCAAGCCACCAGGGCTCCAGGATGCAGATGCAAAACATGCAAACTACTTCCATGGTCATCTCAGGTCCTAGCCCAGCTGGCCACCCTCCCAAGGCCGCAGTACCCTGCAAAGTTTTCTCCGGTACTCGCCAGCCCCCAGTCTTCGCCTGCGCAGCTGGCTCCTACTTCATTTTGACATTCCGGAATCTGGTCACGGTATGCACGGCGTGCGGACGCGGCCTCAACATGTTGTAACTGTTACTTACGCAGGTGTGTCTGCCCTGACACGAAGATGTGCGCAAATGGAAAAGGCAATCAACAACACACATGTAAAAAGCGCAGAGCGCCGCCTGATGCTTGTCATACCAGAACAAACCCACCGTTGCGATATTCACCACCACAAATCCGGCCTTAGCCCCGCTCTTGAGTGGAGAGAGAGATCTGGCCAGGAGGATCATAAGACATGTCACCAAGAGCAACCCAACAGCTATTGTTGTTAATGCAGCAGGCACCAGAGCTCCCAAAAGCCCGAACTGCTTCAGAGATGATGTAACACTCGACAAGTCCAAGTTGTTGGGCAGCATGGCTGTACGCTCGAATCCAGGCTGCGGTGTGCTTGGAAGACTTGCTGGCCGCAATTAAGCCTTCTCAACTGTTTCAAAGAATATCCGTGACCGTCAAGCAGAAGCAGGGCTAGACATATGTATGCAATCCAACTCCATCACCATCCTTAGAGCCACTGATGTACGCAGCAATACGTGTGAGCCTGGCTGCTTGCAATCGTTCAATCACCTCCCTCGGCGCCTCATGAGAGAGAGCTGCAGGTGCATGTCTTCGCGACCTGTGTTCCATGCCGCCAGCATATCGGGAGTTGGCCGTGTTGATCCGAAGTCTTGAATGCTAGGGCAAAAGCACTCCAGGTAGAGCTCGGAGTTTGTAGATGTTGGGAAATGGACTGTCAATGCAGTAACCTTGGCGACTTTTTGTAAAGCAAGGCGGATAGATATTGATCGTAAGCTTGATAAGCTGGGAAAGGCACTGTGTGCTGCACAGCGAAAGCCAGCACTGCCCCAGCAGTAGGATTAGCAAGCTCTCCGCCAAACTCCGACACTATAGAATACCTGACCCCCCCACCCCACTCCGGCTGCTGGGCATGAGTCCAACCAGGATTGCAAGTAGGGTGCGATTCCGTTGCTGCAACAAAATCAGTACGCGAAGCCCAGTTGATCATCATCGTCACCACATCTCTCGTGCCTGACATATGAGGGCTCAAGGGAATTTGAAGGGTCAAGGGGCACGGTAATGCTGGACCAAACTGCGATGCTGCCCTTGGTCTTCATCAAATGTCACGCCCCGCACCTGGCACCACTCCGCGGTTCTCGGCGTCAAGTCTAATTCGCATCTCTGTCGCAGGATGTGGGTTGCTCACCTCCAACGATCAAATGTGTCAACAAAATGGCCCGACGCTGTGCACATCAGCACTTCTGAGGCCTGGCTGAGTCTACAGCCTTTGCTGTCCCAAACAGACACCTGATCTTGCTGATGCCCAACATGCCAGCTTTCATGAGTGCGGATCACACCTCAGCAGCCAGAATGGAACTGCCCGGCGCTGCTGCACAGCGCGTCACGTCGCGGAGCGTCAGTGACGGAGCCGTGATGAAAATATCCACCTTGCAACTCTTACGACCAAAAACAGCCGCACTCCTGAGGTGTGCCCGGGGACGGCTCCTGCCCAGCCCACAGGCCCAGCTGAAGCGCTAACCTGGGCAAGAGCCGCCATGCTGAGTCGTAAGGCTGCCTTCAGTCAACAAATGCAGCATGATAGACGAGACTGCCTACTCGTGCCCTGAGCCTTTTTGAGCAAAGCACTCTCCGCTTCTGTGGAGGAGCGCTCAGTTCATCCGCCAACCCCAGCTAAGCGCGGCGCGTAGCGAATGGCACATTTTCGCATTGAGTTCTCAGTGCTCTTTTCCTCCCTGCTCTGCTTCCATCATCCCTTCATTCCCCTCCTTCCTCTTCCCCCGCCCTCCAGGCCCCTGCCTTTCCTCGCCTCCCGAAAATGTTGCAACCTTTGTGTGCAGGGGATTGCAGCAATATGGCTGAATGAATTTAATGTTCTTGGACTCAAAGCACCGCACTAGGGTCGGCGGAAGTAGCGACAGCATGCGGCAGCCAACGAAAATGCTTTAAGCCCGAGTCAAAGCAATGCCCTTGGCATCTCGTCATATCGCGCCCTCATGACATGCTGCTCTGAGTATGCAACTCCAGTGTCGTTTGTGTGCTGGCTGCCTGACACGCGGCACTGTGTACTGCTACATCTTTGGGTACTTATCTATGGGCCGGCCCTCTGCCTGCACCGCAGAGCGAAGCTGTTGTAGCCTTGCTGGTGGCTTCAGGGCCAGGACGTCCGATGCCACGGCAACAGTGCCTCGAACCGGTTGTCAGTTGTGTCAGTCGTTGCAGTGCAGGTGAAAGCCACCCTGGGGCCTGCTGCGAAGGACTCCAGAGCCAGGGCCCAGTCAGCTGAAAGTCCGTAGCCAGGCATCGGGAGACCAAGACGGAGACCTGACAAGAACATGGGCGAGCAGCAGCCCACCTGGAGCAGCAACTGCAATGCCATAGAGTCACTGAAGCTCTGCTGCGCTGGACTGGAGATATCTGCTCCAGCGAGGCAATGCAAACCTTTCAGCACGCGAGGCTGATATGCCTAGATTAAATGAATTGTTCCGAATTTGATTGACTTGATCCGATTACTTGGATGGCTCATGCTGTCCAAGAACCGTTGACGCCAAAGCCGCCCACTTGGAACCATCTGCATTCCATACTGCCCGGAAGGTCTGTGTACAAAAGCCGTGCAGCTCCTGATCCTCGCGCGCCATGAAACAGAGCAGGGAAGCAGAAACATCATCTTTGCCTGTCAAGCAGCCAGGCCTGTTTCGAGAGACGAGTTGGCCACGACGTCGAAGTTGAAAGGCGACAATGGCAGTGGTGCTAATGTCAACACCTGCGCTTAAGAGTGTTCAAGGTTATCATAAAACACAGCCAGGGCTCATACCAAATCGACCATGTCCACATTGGGCCAAGTGACGTCTCCGAGGGCGAAGCCAGCCGCAACTCGAAAGTCGAGCTCCAGCGTGATCGTAGAACCTGAAAGTTTGTCGCTTTCGCAGAATCTGCCAGTCTTCGTAATGGGTATCCATTATAGCCACAACTGGCCGAGAGCCCCATCTATGGCATCCAGTCTTCGCTGTCACAGGTCGTGGCGCCTGGCTCTGTTAGTCCCAAGTCTGGAGTGATGGCGGCGGAGAAGCTGCTGACAGACCCGTGACGGCCTCGTCCAACAAGCATCCCAGCCAGTGTGTCCCACTATAGAGCGCATTATTGTGCAAACAGAAGCCGCTACTTACAGCCAAAGCAATGCAGTTGCCAAACAAGCGGCCAGCAACTCCTTTCGGCAGTAAAGGAAGCCGTCCTGCTCCAGAAACATCCTGCAGGGCCAACGCGTACAATCAGGTTGTGGTTCGCTGTAAGAGGTCTTGAAATTGTGGCTCCGGTTCCTGGCCCGATTGTTCCGCTTGCCCGCTCTTGCTGTGCTTTTTCTATGGCTAGTTTGCTGCATAGCCATGTTGATAGTAGGAGTGGGGATGGACGTGTGCGAAATGCTCGAACATACTTGTTGGTCCTGCATGTGCTAGCGATCAGAATTTTACTGCTGGTGAAAGCTCGGTTCGAGCTGCAAATCCTGGATGCCATAGTCGTGCACGACATTCACGCCTGCAGGGCCCCCAAATCATGCATGCTTCCTCCATAGCCTTATGAAGTTTGTGTCAGGTGACCCTTTGATGAGCAGCAGTACCCAGCAATTTGCTCTCGCTGCAGCATTGTAAGGCTGAAATCAAAAGCGCTGCAGTGAACCTGGCCTTCGGAATTTTGCCACTCCAATGTAAGGGCAAACTGCCACACTGCCTCACCACACGCCGCAGGCGCGAAGCTGAAGCTATCGCTCTGTTGCGTTGCATCACCTCTCAAGCTGCACTGGGCAGACAGCAAGAGAAGACCTTTCGACCAAGTTTATAGGATGTTGGACAGCAATGGAATGCCACGAAGTCTTCGAAGCGGCCTGGGCAGCAAGTCGACGGAGCCAGGACGAGCGAACAGATCCCGCCGGTCAGAGTGAAGCCCTGGCAGCTGGAAGATGCCGCACATTCTGCTGCCTCAGCTTCAAGCAAGGGCCTAAATGGAGAACCAGGGACCTGAGACTTGCTGCTCCTGCTGAACATTTACTTACAATGCGCTCGCTGCTTGGTGCTTCGCAGAAGCTTGGTCTGCCATCAAGTCGCGCATTCGGAGACTGTGGACACAGATGATCCCGATGAGGTTGCGCACGCCTGCCTTGCTGCCATGGTCATCAACCATCTGCTTGTCTTGCCATGTTCTGAGGTGCATGTGACTTGTAAGAATGCCTGAAGCCTCCAGGTTACTCATCTGGGTGGATAAAGTAGTCACCCGATTGTGATGGAAAAGGCGGACAGCCCAATGTATTGCTATTCGCCTGAAGACAGCTTGTGCGTGGATTTATGCTGGACGAATTGGAATGCCCAGGACAACTACCAACATTGCCATAGGCGCCAGCCTCGCAACTGTAGCATTCTGCCGACCACTTTTCCGCTTCGCATGCTTCCAACGTGGCGAAGGTATGACACTCACTGGCGTCCTTGCGCTGTTTCGCTAGAGTGACCATTTGCACACCACGCTTAGCCTAATTAGCAGCAAACACTTCACAGCTCCTTGCGGCAGCATTTGTCCACGCTTGCGTCCAAGTTGCTGGCTGCATCTTGGACTGTTTGCTGCAAAGGTAGAGTGCATGTTCAATAGCAGAGAATTTGGCGACAGTTCAGGATCACAATCTGAAGTTGCGAGACAGATTCACATCATGTAAAGGCCTGCGAATGCACAAAATTCCTAGCTCCTAGCTGCAGGCATGCCACCATCAGTCGACTCATTCAAGCTTCCGCCAATCTTGATGAAGAACTTACCTGACCAAAGCACTGCCATTCAGGCATTGCCGTAATCAATACATATATGCTACATTCGAAGAACCAGTCGAAATGTGACAGGGGTGCCAGCCAGCGCGATGCGAGCTTCACAGCTGCGGATGGCTGGCGGTGCCAGCGTTTCTGCTTCCAGCTCTATCCTTAAAATTCCACAGGCTGAGGAAACATTATCCACAGCAACGTGCAGCAAAGTGCTCAGTATCCAGCCAGTTGGTTGCGTTTGAGGGTGCTTGTGCAAGATCTAGCGTAAGTGATCCTTGCAGGAAATCTTGATCCATCGGCAGCAGGCACTGACACCAACAAAGCAGCT